GGGTAAAAGGAGCGACTAGGCGGAGGATGGGAGGCGGCGGACAGGATTGGAGGCCGAGGAGCCAAGGGCTTCGGAGGAGTTCGGGCGAGGGACTCTGGGCACCGTCCGCTCGGCTCCCGAAGCCCACGCCCACCGCGCCCTGGGGCCAAATAAGCCCCGCCCACCTGAGAGGGCGAGCTAGGAAAATCGCACCGGCGCGAGGATCTGCCGCGCCGCGCAAATCCCCTGACAAAGGAAAGCCCCGCCCTCCTCCTGCTGACCCGGCCCCCTACCGCCCCCGCCGCGTTCCGGTCAGACTCCCAGCAAGCCCAAGGACGAACGAGCCCAGGACCCGTGCACCCGCCTCTCCCTAGCCAGCGGTTTCTGGCAAGGGGGCTACTTGGGGCCCCATTTGCAGTCAGGGTCGCGCCGCCTACATCGCCCTCGGCTCCAATTCTGCCGCCAAAGCTATCCTTAGTCTTTACAATGTCACCTTTAGCGCGCCCCTTGCCGATCCAAAACCACTCCAGCTTGAAACACAGCACATAACTGGTATCCCGAGGAATTCGGTCACGCTCAGAGACCAAGTTATTGGATAAACTATAGGCACACTCTACATTCCCCCTCACCCTTCTCAGGTATATGGAGTCTTGATCCATTCCCCCACCAGGATTCTTGGCCCACAAACCTGATGACTGTGAAAAATGGGATGCAGGAAGTGGTGGCGATGCCGGCAGCGGAGCTCCATGCCCAAACACCTGGGCTCCTTATTGCTTAGCATCCAAAGAAACCTGAGCCTCGTTGGGGCCTGATGAAAAGCATGTGTCTGTATTTCAAGTATTACAAAGGGCAACTCAGGAGACTATCCACTAGTCTAAGAAGTGCAAAGCCCTGCTCCTTTTGTGATGGTCATTCTCTGATTTTACAAAAGAAAAAGAAGGTAAGTTTATTAAAATGTCTGAATCCCTGTTGGACACTGTGGTCAATATAGCTGGTGAAATTTATGGAAAAGTTACTTCTATCCTTTAAACAAACAGAAAATGAAGTCAGTAGTTACTGTATGGAGATCAGTCAGTGAACCCCTGAGTTGAACCTTAGGCTCACTTGGGTAACCAAAACAATCCTTGGCAAAAATGAGATGTAGGCTGAAGTTGATGATCAGAACTTGGTAAACCTTTCTTTGGCAAATGTTTCACCCTTTCTTACTTCAAAAGAGTCTGCTGATCAATTCTACCCCCTCAAATACAAAAGACTCTCCATCTGTAAACTGAAAGAGGGTGTGGGAGACAAGACTAGACTGTTTCTACAGCCTTCCTGTTTTAGTATTCTTTAGTTTTAAAACTTTTAAAGGAGCTGCCCCAAATCCTGTGTCCTCTTGGTACTAGACATTAGAAACCCTGTTCTATGAAGAAGAATATATATAATAGAAAGAACCAAGAATGCTTGACTTAGAGAAAGTTCCTTCTGGGAGGCGGGCAGACATTAAGTAACTGAAGGGCTGGTATGTGGGAGGAAGGAAATTTGTTCTGGATGTCTCTTTAAGCTGGCACACTAAGATCCAAGGGCAGATTTCAAACCAACAGAGAGCCTTCTCACAGCTATTCAAAGAATAGGGTGTACAGGAAAGGGGTAACTTTCCTGACCTTGGAGGTGTTTGAGCAAAACTTCAAGCAATCACTTGGCAGAGATCTGGGGAAACAGATACAAATCCTTTATAGTTTGTTCAGGATAAGTTTTAAAAGTTTCCTAATTTTAATATACTGTGACCTTAAGTATTGATTAGTTTATAGATCTGATTCTTTTTTTTTTAAAGAGAGTGAGAGAGAGGGAGAGAGAGAGAG